CTTATCTAGAAGATCACCGCGGACATACATGTGCCCGACGTCCGTAGCTAATGCAGAGAAACTCGCAGTCGTCCAAAATGGTCGTGTTCCTGGATCCTCGGTGAACTAGCTGATCAATTGGAGCGAAGCATTCGAATCTGGCGCGACTTGAACGCCGTGCGGTAACGATACCGTTGAGCATGGGAGGCCACACATTCCTTGTGTTCGGCGTGGCAAGATGGTCCTGTGACTGCAGTAGCGACATGGCTCGTGGTGTGTTGGACAGGGATCAAGGGCTCTGTGCAATTGAATCCCCATTCGTGCTCTGCACCAGAACAAGACCCAGAGCCCGTCTAACGATGGATGCTAGCAGCCCGTCTCAGGGCATGGCTTGTCTCTCTGCCGCGGCGGGCGTTTGATGGATGGACGCTCATCATTTCACCGAACTCAAGCTGTCAATCCAATCTGGCGGTGAGCGAGAATTATTCGCCGTTTCGGGCTGCGAGACAAGATTCGGATAGTCTGGCACCGCTCGAGAGTCCGTCGACGGCAGTGCGAGTCTACCTATCACTGTGTCCGCTACTCGCTTCAGCACTAGAACAGGCAGTACATACATAGCACAGATACGGTACATAGGGTATAGTCGGGTCTGGTAAGGTAGCCTCATCAATCACCTCCAGGATAGAATGGATCTTGCAAGCCAAGCTGTGTTGGGTGGAAGGTTGGCAGTGACCCTAGCTACAGTACAGCAAAACCCCTGGACAAACGCAGTGATTTGATTTGCTGGAGCATGCCTGATGCAGAACCAAGACCTGGTCCCTTTGGCTTGCGTGCAGGTGGATCGGGGCGTAGCAAGCATCGAGGCATCTCGTTCTGGTCTGGTCTGGTCCATTTTCTTGACGTCTCATCGGATGAGACCATCCCCGGCAGTTTGTGGGAGACAACAACTCAACTCACTCAGGGCCAGGCAGGTCAACAGTTGAGTGTGGCATCCCTCTTGATGATTTGCTGGTAATAATTATCCAACACTGAGCAAAGATACCTTATCCACGGACCTTGGACCTTGGACCTTGGACTACATGTGTGACACAACAACGTGCGGCCCCATGCCCTAACGAGGTATGTATCTACCAGAGACAGTAAGGGTCAAGGGTCTCGCGCACGGCCCTTTTGATGATTGATTCTGACTCTGACTCTGACTCTGACTCTGACTGCCTTTATCAGGCCTCGAACAACTCCAGGTATTACTAATAACTGGATTGTCCAATGTAAGGGACGCTCTGCTGTGATGGGAGAATTGCATTGCGGTCATGGTCTTTTTGAAACAGACTAGACAGTGGGCTCGTGGATCACGACAAACGTCTTCTCGGTGGTAATTGCTCCTCTGTACGACCAAACTACAAGTTGTACAGGACACGGCAAGACAAGGCAATTCTCTAGAAGTTCTAGGGTCCGAGTGGCAAATGTTCTGGACGGAACGAAGAACACCGATGAGGCTGAACAGGCTGATCAGTCAAATGCCAAATGACACTTGGTTTCCAGTGTCCACCAGGAAAAAAAGAAAGTTCCGTAGAAGCGACAATCATTCATTGAGGGTCTTGCTGTTGTTGTCTGATAGGCAGAGAGAGTCTAGGGCTTGGCCGCAGACACACCTCACCTCACCTCGAGCTACGTACGTGAAACGCACGTTGGGCTTACAATTGGCTCTGACAATGGCACATTTTCTTGTGGCAGAACACACGACCTCGAGATGCGGATACTCTATTGTGCTGTTCATTTCGTTACGAGAACGCATCATTTAATCAAGACGAGTTAATCAAGCCAACAGAACAGTCTCACTCATAGTCTCATAGTCACTCCCCCTTGTCGTTGGCCGAGCCGTGAGCGATATTCTCCTTCGCACAGTAGCAGATAGGTACCCAGACCCTACAGTGAAGTGAAGACAGACCCCAGGACCCTATCGACGCTAAGGACCACAGGCGATTTGATTGAGGTGGACCCGCCCAGGCCCCCTGTAAGACGACTTTGGGCAATCAATCAGCTGGGAGCTTGAGAATAGAGGCAATTGATCGACTGATTACGACCGAATAACTTCCAATCTGATACTCATGCTTGCTAACGTATCAACCTAGCGGAGGTTGTGATTCACTTCCGGACTTATTGCCGACGACAATTACAAAACGTAAAACAAGAAATCGTATCAAATAGAGAGACATGCTGCAGGATTGGGTCATAATCTCCTTACTCGCCCAACACGTTATGGCTCCAAGCAGCCAAAAGTCGAATAAGCAGAGCCGGCCTCTAACAGATCATTCCATCGCGTGTAAGAGCAGACTATCTTTAACAAGCGTCACGGAAGGCGTCCTCTCAAAGACGCCATGCCATCATCCCTAGACGTGAGTTGCTCTACTCGAGTTTCGGGTTAATAAAAGCCGCAGACAAAGACGAAATCAGTCAGGATCTCAACAAACAATAAATACAACACAACACCAGCGGGCGCTTAACATCATAGAAGTGGAACAGGCGATTAGTCGAACGTCATCTATCTCGCCATCATCATATCGAGCGAAACGAATACATAATAATAACACCAGCAGAAGCTCCATATCTGAGTGATGTTGTTGCCTCTGGGCGTGGCTTGTAGACACAATGAGATTCCCCAATTGGGAGCTCTGCAGAACAGACAGTGACTAGGAGCTGCTGGACCAATCCTACGCTGGTGTATTTAGACCTGGCTCATCGTCGTGTTCCAGCAAGATTAAGCGCCAGGATACGAGTAGTAGTTGCCTATGGAGAGAGCGAGGTTGGCAGAGATAACAAACAGACGAACAAGCAAGCATCGACCGGAAACGGTCCTTGATGAATATTAATTATCTTTTTGGAGGTTTCGAACCAAAGTTAGGCCGTGCCAATGACGCTAGTAGAGACGGCTCCAGTGTCAAAGCGAGCTACCGATGGACCTAAAAAGCCGTGACCACTCGTATCTTAGACCTCAAAAACAGCCCGGGAGAACGTTCAAGGGTCCTTTCGGTTGCTTCTTCTTCTCTCTCCGAGTCCCTTTCAATTCAGCGCATGAATTGATTTCGAACGTTACATGCAGGCGTTGTTCTGCCTTCGGGATGCTGCAATATAATCGTCATTCATCACACCCCAGTAGCTATTTCAAGTACACCCGACTCCAAACTCCAATATGCGTATGCAGTCCCTACAGCCTGGGGATGCACAGTGCATACTCGGTCAGTCGAACTTTCAGCCCTGGCGCAGCCATCACCTATCTCGTCGTATGTACTCTATTGTAGTCTGCAGACGTACCTTGGATACTGGCGCAGAGTGCCAAATGCCGTGGCAAGGCGCTGGGCAGCGCAGTTCGGGTACCTATTAATGCTTTGCAATGCGATGATTCCTGACCTCTACGTCAGAAAAGAGTTACGACTTCTAGATAGAAGGCTATTAGCAGTAAAGTAGTTGAAAAGTTAGAACTTGAAGGTGGTAAACTCTACCTACAATAGATGCTGGAGTACGGAGTAGCTGGTGCCCCTTGTAAGCCGGACCTGTCAGTCAATTGACCGGCTTGTCCAGTTTTCCATGTCTAGCCGTGCCTCGGGAAGTACACATACTCACAGCACATTTGCCGCGTGATGTAGCAAATCTACACTGAATAGAGTGGCTGCTGTGCCTTTCGTCGCCAGAGTTTTGAGCATAGAGTCTGAAAAGCCGGTCATAAAGTCAATCGGGAAGCTTACAGGGCCTACAGCGTATAAGGGGTGAAATCAAAGCCATCCCACCATCACGAGGCAGACGCACGAAGGGTAAAAGAAGGACGACTAACGTCGTACACGTAGGTATCCACCCATCCACGATTGGAGCATCTGTGAGCCTCAACTGGCGCAAGTAAACACATTGGATGATGGTCGTCGATACAGCCTGAACCTAGGTTTTAGGATGACGCAGTTGAGGCGACTGGCGACAGCCTTTTGGGCGTGAATCCGAGTCATAACACTTGAGCAATTGGTTAAGTTGAAAAGAGGATGATGAGGTGGATAGAAGAGAGCTTCTTTACAGTCTCAGCCGAGATGCGTTAATGTAAAATCGCACCTCATGACACGTCCACTTGAGAAAGAGCTGATAGGAGTACTCAGCTCATTATTTAGGACCAAATTTCCAGGATCACCACACCATTTGCTTTTGCCTTTGCTCTCTCCTACTCGAAATCTCTCTCAATCTTGATACAATCCAATCTGCAAATCTGACTGTCTCGTCTCTCTTCTTTTTACTCCGAGCGAACTACGGGAACTTGATGCGCCCCAGGGAACCTAGTCTAGCCTAGGTACCTTAGCGCTCCATAACGGCAACGCAAACGCAACGCAACGCAGCTGGAGCCACACCCCCAGGAGCAAAAAGAACAGGGAGGGTCCAAAGGCCCAAGGTCCCTTGCTAATTCTGATTCAACAAGAGCGTGCACAGTATTACTCACACCGTGCTCCTGCTCTGGGCTGCTCCTGCGTCGTCAGGTTCAGGTATCCTTGCCTGGGCCTTTTTTCGGCGCCAACCTTCCTTCTTCCACTGCACTTGCCGCCAGTGCCTCCAACTCTCTTTCTCTTTCACTTTCCTCAAGCAGTTGCTGCTTCGCCTGTATGTTCTAAACGACGATCCGAATTGCTTCACTTTTTCTTCTCTCTATACAAACAGAAGAATATGCCCTCATCGTTTATAGAACGCTGATTTCATACCATCTAAACATCTCTCTCCCTCCCTCCCTCTCTATACTTAACTTACTTATCTCCCCTCCCCCCACCAAAGAGTGACGAACCGCGCCCGCCGCCCACCGATACCTCCCCGCCATCCTATCGCACTCAATTCTCGCCCAACTTTGTGCCCCGCGACGAAACACTTGCTGCTTCTGCGAGTACGACAGGTCCAAAATCTTCGTCCTTCGACCCTCACGAATGCGAATCTGAGCGATCCGACCTGCCATGGTGATAAACGACTCTGGCATTAGAGTCTCGCGTTCCAATCTCGTCATGACCGCTCCCGCACCGACAACCACCGCCGCCGCAGGCACCGCCGCGCCTTCCACCACTGACGATACTGGTGAGCTATCCCGCCTTCGCCGGCATTGCCCCTCGTGTTTCTGAGCTCGACTCGACCCGCACCATTGCCGCAACAGGACCTTGGATACAAAACTTCGATTTATACATGCTAACACTCGTAGCATCTACTATCACAGTCAACACAAAAGCGCCTGCTAATAATTTCCCTCCCGCAAAGACGGACAAGCCACGTCCTCACGTCTGCACCACTTGCCAGCGTTCGTTCGCCCGATTGGAACATCTCAAGCGACACGAACGCTCCCACACCAAGGAGAAACCCTTTGAGTGTCCCGAGTGCTCAAGATGCTTTGCCCGCCGTGACCTTCTGCTGCGTCACCAGCAAAAGCTGCACCAGGCTACGACCCCGTCATCCCGTCCTCGTAATCGTCGTGAGTCTACAACCGGTGTCGCTCCTGGTCAGAGTCGTGCCCGAAAGAATAGCGTCGCTGGAGCCAACGCAGCTGCCGCTGCCGCTCCGGCTTCAAATGCCTCAAACACCATGCGACCGCGAGCCAACACTCTTGGGCATATCGACACAATGGCTGCCATGGCCTCTGCCTCTGCCAATGCCTCCGTGGCTCGTGGACATGTTCATGGTCATAGTAGACACCCCAGCCTCGCTGGCTTTCCAATGCCCGGCATGGATTCTCTCTATGGTGGCATGTCCGCTGCTATGGGTCAACGAGCTATGCATCCTGGCATCCCCAAACTGGAGACAGGAGCCTTTAATAACCTCGACTATGTTAACCCTCTCAGGACGGCCCCGATGTCCTTCAACGATTTCGATTTCGACTCCATAATCTTTGGGCCAGCCACGACAGTAAACCCAAACAATCTACATTACAGCGACTCACCGCAGGTGATGAACATGGAAAACCCGCCCTTTGGGCACTCGATGAACGACATGTCTGCGAACCCCCAGTTCGACGACCCCGTTGACTGGTTGACTGGTTTTGAGCAACAGATGTCATTTGCGAACGAAAATGTGATTGATGATGGATCGAGTCCGTCGGCAATTAGCACGACGAGTCAGAGTGGGATTAGCGATGTTATGTTGGATGGGTCGAATCATCCTGCGCCGGCTGGGACCAGTTCCATGTGGCCGACATCTGTGATGGCTCCTCCACAGATGCCCTCGAACCCTTTTGCGGTGGAATTGAATGGCACAGTCTTTCCGGATCTCCTTAGCGGAGCACCGTTATCACCTCAGCCAGCTACTCAAAAGATGAATGACCCTTACTTTTCTACGCCTCCACCCTCGCTGAGCTCATTGAGTCCCTCTGTTGTGACGGGACTCGGCACCCAAAACATTAACCAGACCCTTGGCTTCAACGCCGGCCCGGAGACGCCATCTTCTCTAAATGGGGGCAACCACGGCGCTTCGCCAGTGACCACCATTACAGATGCTACCCGGCATGCCATCGTGAACATCCTGTCCCAGTGCCTACCCTTTGGGGGTCGTAAACATTCTTTTACTTCTCAAGGATCACCTCAATCGCCACTTTCTCAGTCTGCCGGCAATGCCGCCTCGTCCCAAGCAGCTAATCTGCCCAGTACTCAGGACCTTCAGCGATATGTCGGTGCCTATCTAGCATACTTCCACCCCCATTTGCCTTTTCTTCATCTTCCTACTTTGTCCTTCGATATGCCCATCTCTGCCAATAGTCGTCCAGGTGTAGGTGGTAGTGGTAGTGGTTGTCTGATATTGTCCATGGCCGCTATCGGCGCGCTCTACGAGATGGATACTGCCCAATCCCGAGAGCTGTTTGAAATGGCTAAGAAAATGATCTTTTTTTACCTTGAAGAACGTCGAAAAGCCGATGTCCGAAAAGCAGATATTCGCCGAGGTACCCCAACTGACCATAGCAATGACGGCAACGCTCACACTCCCGTGTGGCTTGTGCAAGCCATGCTTTTAAATGTTGTATATGGCCATAACTGTGGCGACAAGACTGCCAGTGACATTGCTTCGACGCATTGCGCCGCCTTGGTCAGCCTTGCACAAGCAGCTGACCTCTTGCGACCCAATCGCCCCAACGCCTCTGACGGCCAGGATGTTCAGATGAGTGATGACCGAAACTGGAACATGAATCTGGAGCCCGATCAGGCAGAGTGGCTGCGGTGGAAGTCTGGAGAAGAGCGGAAGCGAACTCTATACGCCGTGTTTATACTTTCAAGCCTCTTGGTTTCCGCCTACAACCACACACCTGCGTTGACAAATTCAGAAATCTACCTGGACCTCCCCTGCGATGAAGAGTTCTTCTCAGCTGAGACGAGCGCCGTCTTTCACTCACGCGGTGGATGCGAGGCTGCAAACCACAACCGGATGACATTTCACGATGCATTGGGTGACCTCCTTCATGTCAATGAGAAACAGCATCAATTCTCTTTTGGTGGACAGTTTGACACCGATGGAAGCGACCCGATGAGTGCGCCTCTTCGACCCAGCACATTCGGATCTCTGATACTCATTAACGCATTGCACAACTATATCTGGGAAACACGACAAAGACACCACAACAAAACCTGGACAAATGAAGAGACAGAGAAGATGCATCGGCACATTGAGCCAGCCTTGAAGGCGTGGCAAGCGGCCTGGGCAAGCAACCCTCATCACAGCGTAGAACGTCCCAACCCTTTTGGCCAAGGCCCGCTGTCAGCTGACGCGATCCCTCTGCTCGATTTGGCGTATATTCGGCTTTTCGTCAACCTTTCACGCTCAAAAGAGAGGTTTTGGCAAAGAGACTGGGATGGCATGGCTGAGGAGCTTTCTCGCGGCAACGAGATCGTGCAGCACGCTGAGCAATCACCGATCTCGAACTCTGAGTCTGGAAGTGCCGAACCTTCGGATAACTCAATCAATGGCTCAGGATTCGTGGAAACGCCTGCGACACAGACGTCATCGATGGACTTGTCCAACACTAAGCTTCCTCTACGGCCAGCATCCTCTAGTATGTCGAGTCACACTACGTCTCGCAGGGAAAAGCATCTTCGGAAGGCAGCTTTCTACGCCGCCGACTCCCTCGCCATGTCGGATAAGCTCGGTGTGACCTTTGCCGACTTCACCAGTAGGGAACTTCCTCTTCAGTCTGCCATGTGTGCGTTTGACTGCGCGCAGGTTCTTGCAGAGTGGATTGCGACTTTGCAGGATCGTGTTGGCTGCTACTTGGGGATCCTTGGTCAGGATCAAGTCAATCTCTCCGAGGTTCCTGCCATAATGCTTCTGGAGGAAGAAGATGTCAAGCTGCTGGGCAAAGTTCAGGAAGTGCTATCATCAGCAGAGATGAAGATGAACATGGAGCTTGTCAATGGCATGAACGGCCGGGACGCCAACCTGGACTTGGGTGGGCACAACGGCTACGCTGCCAAGCTACTCCGAATCACTGCATTGATGCTTGATAAGGCTGCGGTGTGGCCAGTGACGCGACTCAAAGCTCGATGCCTAGAATCTCATGCAAACTTCATGCGGACACGGGCTGAGAGGTCCATCATGCCCCAGCAAAACGCACACGTGCAAGACCAGATGTAGGAAAAGAGCAGTTTTGCAGTTTTATTTCCTCCAAACCGAGTATCAGCATTCACAAACCACGTTGGGATGCATGGAAGGACATGAAGCGATTTTGTTTATGATTTACAGCAAACTTGAGCAACAGCTTTAGGCACCATGAGATCTTTCATGAGAGCATCACACACAAAAGTCTATGCTTTGATTCTACTTGCAAAAATTTGTTTCTGGGCTTTGTTATTCGTATGATCTGTCAGTTTTAGCGTTAGGGGCGTTTGGTAGCTGTCTTGCCAGCAGCTCTAATATCGCCACAATTGGTATTGGAAGCTTGCGTATTACAAGGTTTGATTGCTTCATCGTGAAGGATTGGTAGGGATTGGCACGGATTGTACATGGTAGTGCCGTGATCGGAGATGGATATGAAGTTTCCAGAACGACTGGTGATTGAAAGGATACGCAACGATGGTTGTCGGCTCACGCACACGTGCCATAACAGCATTCAAACTTCAACAAGGAGAATGTCACCCGACAGCGAGGTTCAGTTCACGGAATGTGCTAGAAGCCTGAGGAGGGAGGCAATGGCGATAAAAAGTACATGATAGGAAAAGTGGATGTCTCAAACGGTTTTGATCACAGGACTCGTACATGTACATGCATGTATGTACCTATGCACGGCTGTCTCTCATGTACCTTAGCCAGTTGACTCTGTAACCTCGAGCTGAGCTGTTTAAGTAAAATAAGAAGTGTGTACGACTGGATTCTCTGTGTCTTGCTTTGAGTGAGTGAGTGAGTGAGCGAGCGAGCGAGTGACTAAGCGATGTGACATGACGAGATAATGGGGCTAGCTTGGCCATTTCAAGATAATGGTTATACAAACAACCTAGGTGGGTTAGTGTAAGAGATTCTCTTTGCGAACTGGAGAATTGAAATGAGCCACTCGACTTTTTGTAGTTGCCTGTCTAAGGTAAGGTAAGGTAAGGTAAGGTAAGGCAAGGCAAGGTCGGTATGGATTAATATTAGGCAGACATGAAACACTATGGTGATAGCTTGCTTATGAGTTGAGTGTTTGAGGTGGGTGAGGCATTAGCGTCCACAAGAAGGTCCAATACTGACTGGGTCATTTCTCAGTCGCAACATCATCTTATTCTCGTCTTTTGAACTTCAACTTCATCTTCACACACAGAAACACAAAATGATAGACAAACAAGAAACAACCATCTCTCCCCCAGACTTAAACTTCACTTTCGACGAGTCCGTCGCAGAATGGAACGTCAATCACCGCGAGTGGTTGAAAGCCCACGACAAAACGTGGGACTCGCTCGCCACAGGCGCCCTCGTCTTTGACACCTCCAACCGCATTCTCCTTCTCCAAAGAGCGCCAGACGACAGTATGCCCAACAAATGGGAGATTCCAGGCGGTGCCTGTGACGACGAAGACGAAACTGTTCTGTACGGCTGTGGGCGTGAGCTCTGGGAGGAGGCAGGCCTGAAACTGCGACACATTCGACGTGTTATTCCTGATGGGCCAAATGGAAAACCCGGAGCTGTTTTTACCAACAGAACGGGGAAAAGGTTCTTTTGCAAGTTCAGCTTTGAGGTTGGTGTTGAGGATACGGCTGAAGTCAAGCTGGATCCGAAGGAACACCAGGACTATGTCTGGGCGACAGAGGAGGAGGTCAAGGGGCAGAAGATGGGAGAGAGAGAAATACCACTGACGAATGCATTGATGGTGAGGCTTATCGAGAAAGGATTTGCCATGAGGAGAGACGACAAGGGGGTGTGATGATATGATGCGTTGCTTCTCTTTATGCGCTGAGAGGCTTTGGTGTTATTCAGTGACTAAAGTATGGATCATATTATTTTTAAAACAAAGTAGTAACCGGATAAAACACTGAAACTCCCTGATACCCATTTCCTTTCTTCTCACCAGCGACAGACTAGGTATATTTTCCATTATCCTCAATATGTCATAACCTAAACTCCTATAACCATAAAAGAGACAAACCACACCCAATTTAGTAAATTCAGATTTGCAAATAAAGAGACATATCAGGTTCATGAACTAAATAATAGTCCTGGGAGACAGCCACTTCCCAATGAGAAGAGCTCGGGCTGCAAAGTAGCAAGCTCCTCCAACAGCAGTCATGCCAGTGAAGAGACCAGCCAGAGCTTGAGGGCCCATGCTCTCGAGCATGGCACCACTTGTAGGGAGAGCGATAAGCAGTGCGAAGGCGGTAACAAAGTTCATCATACCTGGAGCAATGGTTAGCTACAGTTGAAGTTGATGGACGATAAAAGAGGGTAGACTTGCCATAATATCGACCATAGTCCTTGGCTTCACATGTTTTACCCATACAGACTGTTATTTGTTAGCACGGTCTTATCAGCTACAACACAAGATGCCTACCTGGAGTAATGGAGAGAAAAGACCCAGACCCAAATCCCCAGATGGCAGACCAGGCGTACAGAGCAGTAGCTGATTTGGTACCGAAAGGAACGAGCAGAGCCCCCATGAAGATGATGGTGAAGACTAAAGTAGCAAGCAGGACATTAAAGTGCCCATACTTGTCACCGACAATTCCGGGAATGACTCGGCCGAATGTGCTCGCCGCCCCGACAATAGAAAGAAGAGTATATCCATTCTCGGCAGTGAAGCCGACCCGAGTGGAAATGGACGGCAGAAGACCCGAGATACTGAAGATGACAAACTCAAACATAAAGATACCAGCCGTAACAAAACAGAATGCGGGTGATTGAAAGGCAGTGAAGTTGAGTGTCGAGCTCTTGGGGCTGGGTTGGCCATTTGTTGATGATGATTTGTAGATCTTGTTGAAGGTGGTGAAGCAGAGAATTGCAGGGATGAGTAGACCTGCGGATATAAACGCCATGATTCGCATTGACCATTGCCAGCCGAGACTGGGATACGTCGACCGTAGAATGATGGGGAATATGACAGCGCCGATGGACGATCCTGCGAGTGTGATACCCATCGCGAGACCTCGCTTGCGGACAAATAGTTTCCCTACAACGGCGATGGCTACAACCATTGTCATGGCCGCGCCTATACTACCGAATACTCCTAGGCAGAGCATGAAGTGCCAGTAGTTGCGACATTCGGCTATGAGCAGAAACATGGCCACATACAGAACTGCTCCAATGGGGCCGATGATATTAGGGCCGTGGACATCGACCATTGGACCGACTTGGACGTTGAGAATGAGTGAGAGGAAGAGAAATAAGCCGCTGATCCATCCAACCTCGCCTTCGCTGTAGTCGTGGAGTTGGTTCATGCTGAGATATGTTTGGACTGTGCCCAACGAGTTCATGAAGCCTGGTCCATAGTCAGTCAGTCAGTTAGTGATCGACTATTGCTGTGGTCGACTTACCGAATGTAGGTATCAGAGTTAGAAAGGACCCAAGGACGCAGATCCATGCACTGAATGTCTTTTCGACATCTTGACTCGAGTCTGCCTCAGGTTGTGCTTCAGCGTCGGGGCTGATGTTTGACACTGTCGCTGTGATGGGATCAAGCCCAAATGCCGCCCAGTTGGTGTTTTCCTGAAGACTATTCCGTTCAATATTCTGCTCTCGCTGTGTTAAATCACCCATGACTTTCATCTTGAATAAGATTTGATGGTAATTGCCTTATCAACAGAAGTGAAAAGGTGGCAGTCAAATATAAGAATTATACGGAAGTGGTCCCGGCAACGCTGAATCTTTTCTTTTTCTCCCTCTCTTTTCTCTTCTTCCACTCACTTACACCAAATAAAGAAGCCTAAACTAGCAACGAATTAGGGAAATAGACTGCATTCTAGACTCCGCTCATGGCAGTTTCTAGCGTCGAAACCACGCCCTACGGACCTCCTCGACCGGATCGGAACTGCCTACCGATGGAGGGGAGAGGGGGGCCACTTGATAAGATCTCACATTACATGCGACTTATGGCTTAAGCGAAACGTGCTCTCATTGTCGGTGAGAACATGGTCAGTGGCGCTGCGGGACCGGAACTACTTTGTGGAGTCGCCGAGTCTTGTCTTCTGGGGGAAACCATATGGCAACTTTTGCATGAGGTTGCTGCTGATAGGGTCAGCCATTCACTCCTTCATTGTGTGTTGCGGCTTCGGTGTGAGTTGCTCTCCAACATTTCTATGATGAGTGTATAAACCTAGGTACCTAAGCCAAAACCTATACCAAGACTCATCATCATCTTGTCAGGTATTTTGTTTATATGAAGCTGTTCGTTCACACGTGAGTCATAGTCAGCCAAATCTCTTCTAGAAAGGCCCCCCCCCTTGTCTTGCTTCCCCTCGGTAAGCCATCAGTGATTCTGAGGTGAGTTTGTGATACACACCATCATCAGCACAGCAGCTTAATCAAGACACCGATGTATTCTTACAAAGACCCCCGAACTTCTCATAATACCCTTGACCTATCAATACTAGAAACAGTCATTCCCAATCTTCATCCCTCTTCAACTGGCTGTGCTTGCTCTTCTTCTTCATCACCTCCGTGACAATGCCATGTCTTGAGATGAAAGTAAGGGTGAAGAGCCACTCGACCTCGACCAGGCCAACTATATTCGGTCCCAAATAGTTGTATCCAATTCTTTGGATTGCTGTCGTGCCTCTTACGGCTCCTCGCTTTAATGAGGGTAGCGATCGTAGGCCATTAACTTATACCGAGTCTCCATAATCACCACAAACCTCAGTGACGGGGTCGCACAAATGGTAACACCATGATAAAGCTTTTCTCGCCCTGCTTTACTCAACACTGATCAAGAACAACATCGAAAACAGCAATGCTGCTTCACGTTCACTTCATGCCTTTAAAACCGGCCAAATCTCAGGGGTAATGTATACTCTCCTTCTTTTGCACAGCTTGATCAACCTCACAGCGCATTATTAATCATGGTGACAATGACCTTGGACGCGGATTCCCCCGATATCTATACTCTCTTCTCCGAATGTATCGCCCATTTCGATGCAGTTGAAAGTGGCACAAGACATCAACCCGCCAGAGTCAAGCAGTCCTTGCCGTCGCGAGAAGATATCTCAAAAGCACGTCAAGACTTTTATAGATGGGGTTCAAGTTATGGAGCTAATCGTCACCCAACATATACGATATCCTTGGACTACAAGTTTCGTAACCAAGATTATACTAGATCCACAATTCTATCACAGCTTGGGCACCTGCTCGAGGACCTGGAATCTTGTGAGTACCTATTCTTGTTGTTGACTCGAGACCATCAATACTGATTTGATCATGCAGTTCAGAAGATATGTGATGGGGTGAGTTTACGGGGTGACGCTAGGTATATATTTTGGAGAGTTGAAAATGTGGTAGCTGAGTTGATACGGTTTCTTGGCCACCTACCAAAGGAACTATGGCTTGAACCTGAGATATGAGACCGCCAGTCATTGAACCCCTCGTCACCATTTTGTCTTGCCAACGGAGACTAAGTCTGAGATATGTAATTGATGGCATAAACGCCTTATCTATGTCTATCTTGAGGCAACACTTGACTAACTGATAACCACTCTCTAAAAGCTTTGCTGTTACTTCGTGGGTAGTCATAGACTCGTAATGTTGATACATGCAAGAGCCTCCTCTTCTGGCTCATTGTTCTCCTTCATAACTCTGCCATGGACTTATCGTGTCATGAATTATTTCTATAGTGTGGCATTATGTATGTGGTAGCACGCTTCATGCTGCTTGTCTGCCCTGTGGGCTTCCTCGATAGCCTCCTCTGCCACGTCGGCCACGGTACCAAGGGGATCGTCCTCTTCGACCACCGCGGCCACCACGACGTGGGGTGGAAATGGTGGAGTTTTCTCTGGGTTCCGGAATTTCAGTGTTGCCATGCTTGAGGCCGTCCGTGGTGTTTGTTCCAGCAGTCACCCCATCTTCGCCTTGGGGATCTTTATTATTTGATGATGGGCTTGTCGCGCTTCGACCTGGCATGGTAGGCTCTGCTTTTTGTTGAGCGCTTTGTTTGTCGAAGCATCGGTCGGTGGTGCTATCTTGGACCTTCACCGCCCTGGAAACTGAAGAAACCGCTTGGTTGTGCTCGGTGGCAACAGGAATTTGGGATCCTGCACTCGCCTTCATAGGAGGCAGTGTAACTCGACGATGCTTCCTGTATTAGTTATACTGACCATAATGTATTTACTCAGTACTTACTGGAGACATTTGCTTCTCTATCGACGAGAGGAGGAGCTCATTGTCCACGTCGGCTCCATCAGAGCCCTGAGATGCCTGAGATGGTTCGCTCTTCGACTGAGCACGACGAGAATAGTACGGCAGCTTATATTCAAAAATTTGACTCTCTGCCGCGTCTCGTTCTTTCGCCGCCCCTTCAGCTTCATCTCCACCTTTGACTAAAGCTAGGAGAGTCAGTGGAGTAAAGAAATTTGGTGCTTTGTGCTTACGCTCCAAGACTTTTGCTTCGTCAGATTTTTTTGCTTCTTTGCTTTTGAGAGCACGGTCAACGGCTGCCATAAAGGCTCTCTTTTTCTCTCTGGAGTCCGTGGCTGGTGTTGCAGTGTCGCCGCTACTCATTTTGGGTCGACCATCCTATGGCCGGCCAGTCACGGCTGTCGTCTTCAATGTCTTCTCATCTTGTTCGGCAACCTCGTCAGACCACTGGCGGCTCGTTTGTGAGCTTACATTTATCAGTCCGTCTTGAGTGGTAGAGCTGGTCGATGCCTCGGAAGTCCCGGTCTCCATGGATTTCCTGATCTTGGCCAACCTGCGAGGGGTAAATGTAGCGGCAACGGGATTCAGCCGGGTTCCCTGCAAGTAAAGGTTAGAATCACCAAAGACTATTTATCTTCGGCTGAAACTACCTCTTGCTTGCGACCTTGGGTAATAGGAGTATCCTCTGCGCTGGCTCTGGCTTCAGATGACTTCGGTTGTTCGTTGGTTGCTGTTGTCGGCTTGTTGACTTTTGATAGCTCGGTTCTGGTCTGCTCTGAGGATAGGTCGTTAACAAATCCTGCTTGACCAGCCGAGGCATCGGCGTCTTCCTCCTTTGTTCGCACAAAGACCTGCTTTGACCAAAGATCGGCGTATCTCCCACCAGCCACGATCAATTCGTCGTGGTTCCCCTGCTCAAGTATCTCGCCATTTTCAACTACAATAATCCGGTCTGCGTTCATAATTGTTGAAAGACGGTGGCTTTGTGAATTAGCATAATCTGAAAGGCACTGACAAGGGATAAACTTACGCGACGATGAACGTGGTTCGGCCCTGGCACAGCCTCTTGAAGGATATCTGAATCTGTTGCTCTGTATCTGTGTCAACCGCACTGGTGGCTTCATCTAGCAGAACAATGTCCGGCTTCTTCAACATTGCTCGAGCAATTGCAATTCGCTGAAGCTCACCGCCAGACAGTTTCCTGTTCAAGTCAGCGTAGAATTTTATAGTAATATCCAAGGTTCACTTACACGCCGCGCTCTCCAACCCGTGTTTTGTATCCTGTTGAGGTCAGCAATTGTCTGATAGGTATCTCAGAGGCTGTTTCCATACCATGAGTGAAGCCTTTGATCTTATCATGAATGCAAGCGGCTTGACATGCTTCAAACACTTCCTCATCGGTGGCGGTTATCCTCCCATATCGTACATTGTTCATAATCGTGTCGTCAAACAGAATTGGATTCTGAGGAACGACTCCAATTCGATCACGAAGACTAGTGAGTTATGTTAGTGCTAAGTGTTTGAGTGACCATTAGTTATGATTAGGTCTTACCTGAACAGATCAACATCTCGTATGTCTTGACCATCGATGCAAATACGACCATCGCCCACATCGTAAAACCGATCAAGGAGTTTGATGAGAGTAGATTTTCCTGCTCCCGTGGCACCCACGAAAGCGACTGTCTGGCCAGCAGGAACATGGAAGCTGACATCATTGATGATGCCCTTCTTCTTGTCGTAACTAAAAGAAACCCGCTCAAACTCGACCTCCCCAGCTACGAACTTCAACGGTCGGGCTCCTTTCTGGTTTTCAACTGATGGCTGAGTTCTCATGATGTCCAGCAGGCGCTCGGCATCGATGAAATCATCGCTTACGTTCTTTCCCAACTTCGCAAAGAACTGAAGCGGTGATGTCAATTGTGCCCAATACATCAAAAGCATAGCAAATTGTCCAGGTGTTGCGTGGCCTGCTCTGATACGGTAGACTGCCAGGAATGCGCTCGCGAGAAGACCAGATGTCAGGACCAGGGTTTGAAATCCGATTGAGATATACCACCCAAGCACATATTGCTGCTCTCTAAGCCAACGATTTGTGACTGCATTGGCGTGTCGATTGTCTTCGTAACCGATCTGATTGAATGCACTAACTGTCTGCCACCCAAGGAAGCCAGACTGGCGCACATAATGTTCCTCGTATAGTGCATTGACACGGTTTCGACTTGCAGCTTTGGAGTTAGCAACAAGTCTGCTAGCAATAAGAAGGAAGAAGACACCGGTAGCCACGGTAATAAGTCCTTCGTAGGGCCCAAATGTGATAGAAAGGTAGACAATAGCCACCCCCATATCAATGAGCATGGGTACGGCATAGAGCAAGACGTTCTCAATAACATTGGAAACCGCACTGCCTCCGTAGATCGCCATCATCATGTCTGATGAGCTTTTTGAGTCGTGGAAATCTGCTGAAAGATGCATCATGTGCGAGTAGGCTGCTCGTGTCAATGCGTCGTGGGAATAGTACTTAACAGGAACCCAGAGCCACTGACGAACTAGCTCGATACCCGACTCAGAAGCAGCTAAGCGGAGGGCAGCAAATACAAGAACCGAGATCCATGGATTACTGTTGCCGGAACCATTCAGGCTGTCCATGATAATGCCTGTCTGGCGGGGGATGAGTAGGTGAAGAGCATTGGATGCGAACAGGCATAGGCACACGGCCGCGGCACGAAGTTGCAGGCCAACATTACCGACAGGCCAGACGTATGGAAAAAGAATCTTGTTATGAGTCAGCGCAATGACTCTTACACAGTCACAAGCAGTGGTATCAGTTGGGGGCTCAATTGGTGAAAATGTGCAAGCAGTCTTTACTTACCTTGAAGCCTTTGGCGTACTCAAACCAGTTTCCACCTTCCTCGAGCCTCTTCTTCATAGCCTCTTTGGCCTCTCTCTCTCTGCGTTCCCAACTATACTCCGGGGCCTCTTCTTCTTCTTCCTCGGCTTGGAGTGTTGACCCATACCCAGATTCCTGACTGGTTGGACTATCAGGTGATGTAGTTATAACTTTGGGCAACAATGGTTCCTGCTCTTCATCGGATGTCAATTTTACAGAAAAGCCAACAGCGAACAAACTAGCGAGTGATATGAAAGACAGGCAACGAATGCTAATGGTAACGCTTGCAAGGATACTGAAGACATCGAAAGGGGAGAACAGTCCCAAAATAGCAGACAATACAGTGATTGCAATATCAAAAGACAGGCCAAGCAACCAAGACCCGATGAAAGGATAGAAGGGGCCCTCTTCAGTGTCGAGACAGCGACTCAGTTGGATCCCGAACGCCAGAATGCAAGCCAGATTTCCGATGATGATGTGATCCTCTGTTGGCCAGCTCTGTGAGAGGACTGCACGGGTCCCAAGCAGCAACAACTGGGCAGTGTATGTCAGGATGCACAGGAGGTAGAAGACGAGTGTCAACCGTTGGCTGGGACATTTCTTCTTTCGCTCATCTTTTCCAGAAGAGTGTACTGTACAGGCTGAAACGAGTGAGGCGAAGAAAAAGTAGATGAAAACGAGAGCTGGGTACAAGTAGTACAGGATCACCAAGGCGGTTTCCGCGGGTGAACTGGCCGCCATAGTGACTGGGGTTGGATCGAGCATCTGCGTCGATGAGGAAGATGAAGCTCTGAAGATTCCAGATAAAGTCGACTGAAACAATGAGCAGGATTCCAATTAAGTGGTGAAGCTGGCAACTTGAGAGCAAGATAAAGTAGCAGGAAGCGGCCAAGAAAGAGTGTATGAAGTACCCTTGGGGGAAAGCGAATGACAAGAAATGGGGAAAAGGGCAACCTCTCGATTCGCCGTAGCAACGATTGCACTCACCGGTCGTAACCGGGGTGTAATACTGATAACGGGAACCGGCGTTGAAGGAGAATTTGAGGATGTAAAAGTTCAGTTTAAGGCCAAGAGTTGAGGATCACAAAATGCGGTGGAACGTGACAAACGGGATCTCTCCTGCGTGTTTGCGTTCGCACTGGGCTGCTTCTTTCCTTCCTCGAGTTACCTAAACAAGGTACAATCAATCAGGCAGGTCAGCTGCTTCAGGTTGTGATTACCAAAATGTCTTGGTCTGTCTGATATGCGGGAAGGTGCGATGCGCGGTCGGATGTTCTAGGTTGGCCTGCCCCGTCCCGTCCAGTCTGTCCGTACCTTAGGTGGCTCGGGTAGTACAAGACACTTTAACCTCAGGTGAGGTGAGGTAGTCGTCAGCGGTGAAAAAGTCTTCTTTCTCACGCGCTCATCCAAACTTCGGTAAATCTGAAGCGAGGTGCGTCCAATTCTTTCGGTGAGAACGTGCGATGAAGCATGTATTTCCAATGCTCCTGGCAGTCAATTGAGTCACGAGGACACAATGATGGTGTCTGCTTTCGAAAAGGAGATGTGGATTAGTAGGCGCTTTCCCTCTGGCGAGCTTGACGATTTTTACTTCGCCTAAAATCTCCGCCGACTAATGCGCTTGTTATTGAAGCCCAGCGTCGAAAAAAACTTCAAGGCGGCATCTAACAGCACTGGTGCCTCGATATTTGTTGAAGAGGCCCAGCGGATGTTTATTGCTGGGGCATCCGGAAATTTTCACGCTGTGAGGCAATGAATACACCTTACCTATATGATGATGCCTGTCAGTCTCTGCTGAACTGGGAAGTGGTGGACAACTCCAATTCGATTTCTCGCGAAACTGAGAAGCTTTTCGAATGCCGACTTACAAGTAAAGAATTTGAAAGAAGGAACCTTAGCGTTTGCAGGATCGTTCAGCTTGAAATATATTCAGGTTCAAGTTCGATGTGGCTCAACTTCTCAAAAGGGGCATACTTCCTTAACTTGCGACAAGGGTACATTAGTCGTTACGAAGCTATCCTTATGGGCCATACCCACTCGAGTCTGGCCATCTTCACCGGCTCATGCGCCTAACAAAGGCTGATTGGTGTATAGCCTGTCCTCAACGACTTGAGATCGTCTCGCGGAATGGAACCCCTGGTTTACGGCCAGCAGCGATGTTACAAGGAAACGTGATCCTGTCACCGCTGAATTACCGACCGCTGGGGAGATCTCCAAGAACCTGCATTCCGCCCTGCTGCAGCCCCAGCTGAGGCTCAACCCAGACTCAAGTGCATTACAGCAACTTAGTCATACACTCTAACCCCTGTTTTTTCATTAGCTTGTAACATTAGGCGCAGATCGGTAAGGATTAATAACTAACTAATAGGTTTAAAAGAGGTTATAGTAGAGATTATAAGAAAAAAAAGGTACTTTAATTATTAACTGAATATAAGGGTTTTTAGGTACTAATTTCTTAGCTTAATAACTAATTAAACTGCCTTATATCTTAATAATAGTAGCTAATTTATAGAGTATTAAGTATACTATTTATAATAATATATCTTTAGGAATTACTTTTTAAGCCTTTATAATAACTTTATATAGCTTTTTACCTATAGGTTTAATATAATAAGTCCTTTTAATCTAGTTTTTTATTTAATTTTATATATATTTAATAGAATTAAGATTAAGGCTATAAGGTAGCTAGGGTACCTAATAGGTACTAAGAAAAAGCTACTAAATAATTTTCTTTATACCTTTTAAGATATATATAAAGGTATTATCTTACTAAAGGATTAATTCTGAGTTAGTAATTTAAAAGTCTTATAGTAAGGGTAAAATCTTTTTATAA